ATTTTACAGTCCTGCTGAGTTTTTATTTTGCTCTCCATAGCCCACTGTAAGGGTATGAATATGAATATCTTTGTGTTTAATACTTATGTTAATAAATTTATACCAGCTTCTGTTTGAAAGTTTGGATTTAAGTTTTGCTTCTTCCTCAATTTCAGTTTTCTGATGTTGAGCTGTTGTTGTTGCTGAGATCATTATCTTTAAAAACAGTTTTTTTTTTTGGGTTTAAGTTCTGTCAAGTATGAATTATTTGAAATTAATGAACTTCATTGTTTTATGTATGAATACGTGAGTAATATAATTTTCTAAAATTTACATAGATTTGTATGCAATTTATTTGAATGCTGTATCTTTTTACTTTTCCATACCTGCACTACCTTTCGCCTCTGTCAAAAACAGTAAAGTTTATCATTCAGTCTACCGGGGACCCAGCTCAGTTAAACATTATATAAATTATATTTAACTTTAAGTAAGCTCCTAGTGGTCTCTTCACGTCTCACATTTGTGCACAAATCTGTGCTTTCTTTAACCCATGTGCAGTCAGAAAATGTTGTTTTTTCCACCATATTTTAGTTTGCATGTCTATTTTAAACCTGCTCAGAAATGAACACAACCAAACACACACATCCAATTCTTAACCCCATGACATAATGTTTGTCATTTGACAATTTGGCAGAGTAGGGAGGGTCAAGAGAGCCTTGGCTTAATTAGGCTGAGGACAAATGGGAGAAGATGGAGGAGGCCACCCTTGTCTGGCGCCTTGGGGTTTTTAAACTCCTACAGGCTCATTTGTCACACAAACAATAGCTCACATGCATAAACTGCAGGCAGACCCGAGATGCATTTTATAGCTTGTTTTATTGTTTTTCTTCTTTCTACCGTATATGTCACCTTTGTGGGAACAGACATTTGTATGATTTTATTGCAGTGTTTTAGAAATTTGTCGTTAAACAGTTATACATTGAGCTTTCTAATGTCTGTAATGAAGAGAGACTGAGCATCAACATGAACAAAACTTATGATTTATATAAATATATAAACTTCTATCAAGCTTAAAACAAATTAGAGAAAAAATGCACATAACAGCTTTCTCAGAAGTATTTTGAAAACTTCCCACCAACTTTTCCACATTGTATTTTATTACCTCATATTTGCATATTTTCACATTTGTAATATTTAAATTTAAATATTCAAACATTTCAGGAGTATTTTGAAAGAGACTAAAAAAAGGCAGAAAAATATATAATAAAGCGAAAAAAAATTATACAACAAAGTAGCTCAGTCTTCATTAATTTAATTTAATCCAGAAAAGATTGGGCAGAAGTTTAAATTTATTTTATATTTACAAGTCAGTACTGAACAAATAGTGTTAGTGTGAATACTTTTGTTGTTCGTAGATGAAGTGTTTTAGCTTTTCTTAAGAATTATTTTGATAGATGCTCAAAAAATACTATTATACTGAATCTGTTATTCCTGGATTCAGCAAAAGAAGTACAAATCATTATACAATGCCTAACATATTTCACAAATTGCTCTCATAAGACTTTAAAAGAGCCTTCTAACATGCTCCACTAAGGATCACAATGCTTTCTTTCATCATTGCCATTTAACTTTCTCTTGATGGAATTTTATAATGGATGTCTCCAGTTGCTATGAAGGCATGCTACTTAACAACCACATTTGAATAGATTTAGAGTGGAAGAGCAGAAAAGATAACCGACTACCTTCACTCCAACAATCTGAAAGCTATTACAATGAAATAATCATGAAATGCAACTAAATAATCTGAAAATAATCTTTTTTCTTAGATTTGCTGTCTCTCACAATTTATTCGATCATACACTGACTGTCACTGGAGTGAAACATTTCTGAATGATGGTGGCAAAATCATAATTCTTGAAATGTGTTACAGGAGTTACAACTTTAGAGAAGAGGCTTTTAATATGTCGGGAATATGTTGCATATCAAGCATATGCATTTTTCTAAAGATTAGATGTCTCCCATACTCTAGAGATTCTACCACTTGTGCAGGAATAGCAGTGCCCTCAAAGACTCTTGTTAAAGATAATGTCAACAGTACACTCATACATATACAGAATGATAAATAGCTTCAGCCCTTCTGTTGACAGGTCAAGTCATTTGCCAGTTGCCAGCCAGGCCGACAAGAGCCAGATGATGTCAGTTCCATATTTTATTAGATTATAGGGATGATTGAGTGTAATTGAGCAATGCATCGGAGTGCAGAGAGAAGACATCAAGCCTCTAGAGAGACTGGAGGTGGAGCAGAGGAAGGGTGTTTCAGGAATCAGGAAATGCTCGATGGCACCAGAAACATGACATTATCATTGTCTACAGCTGGTGATTATTAGCAACCTGGTGATCAATTAATCAAATTGATTAAACCTCTTACAAGATTAAATATTGGCAATGCATTCTTTATCGGGGATTACTGAGTTGTTCGAACAACAACAAAACCTACTCAGTATTGGGGGGGCCTTAACGCTTTGTGGCAGATGGTATTTTGGTTTGAAGTACAAATTACTGCAATTGAAGACTGCATTTGTTTGAGCAGGCAGTTCAGGTAATTCAGGCAAAAATATCTAATAAGGTTGTCTTGGTATCTCTTGGTTCTTTCTATTAGTAGCACCCTATGCCCAGTAGCTTCATGCAACAACCAGGGACGAACAAAAATCTAGGAGCTTTTTTAGTTTTCAATTGCCTCTTTCTGCCCCATCGGATAAATATCTTTCCAGATAAACACAGAGAAATGCCTGTTTATCTTTCTCTAAACGACTGAAGTGAATTTCAAACATGAAAATGTTCCAAAGAAAAAACCCAGCAGAAATAAAATCCTTTATAATTCACAAAATAAATAGCCACTGCATATGAAATTTTTATGTTTAAATCCATCTCATTTCACGCGGTCCCATTTATTGGACTAAAGACTTTTTATGCAGTGAGAAAAGAAGGTCCAGGGGCGTTTATTTCTTCAATGTTTTATCTTTACACTTCCTTGATTAGTTGTTAGATTTTGTATTCACACAGAAACTGAACACTTTCAACTTTCCCAGAATTATGTAGTCCTGGGATTCATATCTAGCTGAAAGCATCACAATACTCATGAATAAATTTACATAAATACTAACAAAAAAAGCATTTTTGTCTGACTTGTATAATATTGTTTTTTTGCCATCTTCACTTCTTCTGATGTTTTTGTCAGTTCAGAATTGAAATTAATTGACTAGCATTTTGAAGGAAGATTTAAAGTAAATCTTTAACGATATTAATATATCTGTGGTTGGTGCCATAACTCAGGACTTCTACCTGAAACAGCTGTTGACTTGCTTTGAAGTTGGGTGTCTCTGATATCAATATTACTAATTTCCAAATAATTATTTGCCAATTATCTCAATCCAACACCTTCACTTTTTACAGTACTATCTTGCACACCGCATGCTGAAAGTACAGTACAGTTCAAAATGGTTTTATCAAAAATAAATGACACAATGCTAAGTTTCTAAGATGTTTTCTGTCAGCTTGCACTGACAGAAAACGTGCAATGAGACAAAAATTGCTTCATCTTGATTGGATAATTACGTCTTCTTTCAAGGACATTTTATACATAAAGTCTGTTGGAATGTCCTTTTAGCTCTTAAAGGGACCTAAAGGAACATTACACATACAGAACTTCATTTCCTAAACATGGTTTAGAAATGTACACTGCAATACTTCAGTAATTTCTCATCGCTTTATTTTCTTCCAAGTTTTCAGACTTTTTCATAAATTCTGAAAGTGATGTTCTACAATTTTTTTTTTTATGGTTGCTGAAGGTCTTCCTATTGGAAAATGTTCATTGGTGGACCTCACATCACATGCAGCTGTCAATAATGAAAATAAATATCTCTCTATGTGTGAACATTTAATGTAATTGTTGAAATAATTTTTGTTGGTGGACTGTGCAGTATGATCTATAACTTTGTCAATACTTTTCTACATAGTTATTTAGTTATTAACACATTGGTACTCCTATCTTAGCTAACAAACATACCCAGCGCTGTTGTGTGGGTTTCCATGCTCACCATTCAGTAGGAGGTTACACACAGATGTACTGCGCTCTCAATCTCTGCAAGCACTAATGGACCATGCGAAAGACATTTTTGTGAACTTCTATTTCAGCTAGAGTTGCTCACAATGGATTGCAGACAACATAAAGGAGCCCAATGACTAAATGTAACCTGTTGGTAAACCCACAGAGAGATTGAATTGCATTATAGAAAATATTTGATTTTGTTTTCATTTCAAATGCTTAAAAGAGTGAAGCACACAGAAAGCTTGAATTATTCTTTGCTGCTGACAGGGTTTTGTGTGCTAATGCATATTTAATTAAAACTTTTGCTTTTTCTTGTTTTACTTTTATTAAATTTTCTCAAGAGTCTTACACATGTCCATAATAATAATAATAATAATAGTAATAGTTTAGGTAACCAGTTACTCCTGAATACCATGAAGACTGTGTTGATTGATAAACTCAGTTGCTTTGACTATATTTGCTGTGACAGTTAGTTATTTTTAGTTGCTTGCTTTTTTCACACGTAAAACCCAAATCTATTCATTTAGTGTTATGACCTTATATGGCAGTTTGTCCACTTAGCAATAAAGGCTGGAAACAAATTAATTAGCTGTGGATTTGTGGACATTCCACGGAAACATAGCTGTCTGTGATATATGACCATCACCCTTGTCATCAATTAGGACATCACTAAGACATCTAATTTATTGTGACGTCTTGACACTCAGTTGTCTGAACTACTGATTAAATATGAGACTTAAAGGTTGCTACAAAAGCATTTCCATACTGTGAAATGCCATATATAATAAATGAACAGTGAATACAAGACGTTTAGTCAATTCTTCATAGATATTCTGTCGGAGCTACCATTTAAAGTGAAAAAAATAAATAAAAAAATGAAGACCTTACTCTTTTTTTTTTTTTTTTTTTGTAGACACTCTTTCAGTGCCTCGCTGGTCCCCACAGATTCCCCGACGAGATTTTGGAAACTCAATAAAACACCGGTAAGTCAAAAGAAAATTCTGTGTTGTGGAGAGTTTGAGGTGGTTGATTTATATGTTCCAATTTACGTGATACAATGTTGCAAAAAAAACTGTATTGGCACACTACATGAATTCTTCTGTTTTTGCTTTTTAGTCACACTCAAAACATTTGCTATCAAACCAGTTTTAATATGAAAGATAACAATAATAAGTAAAGGAAGAAGTTTGGAAATCATTTTAATTTTTACAAAAATAAAAACTATCCAAGCTTACCTCACATTATGTGAACAAATATTTGTGCATGAACCCTAATAATTGGTTCTGCCATCAAAACTATTATTGGGATTTAGTTTTTCGCTGTAGAGGACTTTTAGCTCTATTATTTGCAAAATTGTATTAATGCTGTCAAATTAAGATTTTATTTTAGGAAGCATTGCCTGTTCCAATGATGCTGTTCACAAGAGTTCACAGGAGTGTTGAACTGATAAGTTGCTTGTACTTTAAGCTCAGCAGATGCATGGTTCCACCAAGCGTTTGGTCATTTCTGCCGCTGATCAGAAGGAACTGTGTGGGAGTCGCAGGGGAAATCCAGCTCTGCTGGACAAATAGGCCTTGCATTGTGCTAGCAGGCATCTATCCTGCAATGGAAGATTAAAAGATTTCTTAAACATGCATGATTGAATCAAAGTAACACTCTGTATATTGTTGATAAGGGAATAATTTCATAATTTGATAGAAACCTCAAAAAAGTTGATTTTGTATAACATCTTCCCTTTAACACAACAAGCTATTTGAATTCCATTTTTCTATTTTAAGATTTTCTTTCTTTCTGCGTTTTTTTAGATAAATGCATTTGTTTACACTGCCACCCCCTCTTTGCTGAAAGATAATTTCGTCATGCAGAACCTGACCTCACTGTCCTACATAATTGACAGTCCGCTAAAACATTCTGTCAAATAGAATTGGTTGGAGTGAGGTGTGACTCATTTGAGGCAGAGGAGGGGTCTAATAAAGAGATTTTGATTCTGTCAAACTAGATTAGTCACCTGCCATTAGCCAGCCAGCGACACCACTGGCGTCCAGGCGTTGCATCAGTAAATACTGCCAATTGTCACAAACGTGTTTGGAACGGTCAGTCAATCTGCGCACGGAATTGGTTCCTGCTGCAGAGGACCGTGGATTTGCTTGAGAAGAGGCTGTGTTGGACTCTAATTATGACCACAAGCTTGAAGACTCCCAATTACTCAGACTGATCGTTCTATTGATATTAACCCTGTGACCTCACGACTGTGCTTCAGATTGTCTGTTCATTCAGACTGAGTTTAAAAAGATGGGCCCAATTTAAATCAGCAGGTGAGGAAATTGCAATGGTAAACTCTGTTATACAAGAAGCTGCAGGTGTATATTATCCTTGCAAATAGGTGATATATGTGAAGAACCAGACAGCTTGCAGAAATTAATTGTGAATTAATGAGCATTTATAAGAAGGCAAAATGCTTATTAAGGTGAATGGTTTTCTACATAGTTGTTTGATATGATGATACCAACTTTATTGTGTCTTTTCTTTCTTCCAGGTTTTCCACTAAGTACTGGATGTCCCAGACATGCATAGTATGTGGAAAGGGAATGTTGTTTGGACTAAAATGTAAAAACTGCAAGTAGGTATCATGACTACCACTTAAATTTCTAGTAGTGAATACGATCTGATCCCACATTTCTAAAAGTTATTTAAAAAAAAAACAACAACAAGTAAATCATATTGATCTTTTGTTTCTTTTAATTGTATGCTTGACATTCGTCCCTCTTTGTTTTCATCTTTATTACATAAATTTGCAGTTCGTATTTAGTGTCTGTTAATGTTAATGCTTCCTGTTTGCATAAGTTTGAACTCTGAGTAAATATTCAAATGGCAACTAATAGGCACTAATTTAGTCTCTGTATTTTCTTTGCACGTAGGCTGAAGTGCCACAACAAATGCACCAAAGAAGCCCCACCTTGCCATTTACTGATTATACAGCGAGGTGGACGGGAATCCCTCAGAGGTAATGTATAATGCTTAACGCATACAGTTTCTTGGTATAGATTGTTATAGACATTTTTGCTTTCACAGTGCAAGATAAGTAATTATAAAAGATTATAGAGTTCACAGAACATGCTAGTCTTTGTCACGTTCCTGTTTTTCCTCATCTCATTAACTTCACAAAGGAAAATCATACTGTATAGCCTTGGGGTAAATGCTAATTTTTCACGGAAGTTGGAACATTTTTTATTCTGCATGAATGCATCTCTACCTTAACTTGTGTCGCTCCAGGCACATTTGAATTTTCTGATGCGTGTCAGGCTGCTGGTAATCTGGAATAGGCCCTGTTTAGTATTACCCAAAGCTGAGTTTGTTACCTATAAGTTTTTCAAAGTGAGAAATGTGGCACTTTGTCCCAGAAAATTCAGTTGATACTGCCAAGATTGTGATTGTTAATGTGTGACAAATTAAAGCTGCACCAATAAAATATTGTAAAGAAAAAAACATCACTCAATTATTATTTCTTTGCATTGATAAGTAAAGTTTACATCATATAATAACTTGATATCTTCATTGGAGGATGTCTTATATTGTCTTATATTGTTTCAGCTTTAAACTAAAAAATACTTTTGCACTGCTATCACAAGATAATCACTCCTTATTCTTATATAATAGGCAAAACGATATTACTCGTCATGAGTATATTTTGTTCAGTTATTTTCCTAGTAAAGCAAAGTTGAAGCATCACAAACTAAGTACTTGGTTTACTGAATCAGCTGCCCCAGGTGAAAGCTAATAAGTGGGCAGCTTTATGTTTACTGAGATATCCTAACTTTTGTAGGCTCTGACAAACTTCTTTTTCTTGTCTATTCCACTAGAAGAGAGCAGATGCCTGCACTTTAGAACCATATCTATGTCCCCCTCATATTTATTTATTTTTTAAATATCTGGCTATAAAAAGTGTGTTTTTGCCCCCATAAAAGAGAAATTACAGCAAACAAAATGTTCTAGACTGACTGATGAATCAAGTCTGTCTTGAGCAATGATGTGGGTGATGCACTGTTTATCCTGACACTAACATCAATGAAAACTTAAAACCCCTTTGTCTTCTCCTGCTTTCCCTCTCTGTTTTCATAATAAGATCAACAGGGAACCATTCAAGGTAAGACACTGTAATTGGGCCGCTTCAACAATGCTTTTTTAAGAAATGTGACACTTTCATAATAGCATAAACTGTTTTTTTCTTCATCATTTGAACATTTCATAACAAGTTGTGAGATTTATTTTCTTGTTGAAATAAGAAGCAGTGCTTGACTGATTTTCTTGAAGTTATTAAACAAGTCTTTAAGTTTCCCACAGAGTTTAAGTGTTTCTCTGCTTTCATTTTTTCTACAGTAGCTCGTCTGGTACGGACTGAATCAGTGCCATGTGACATCAACAATCCGCTCAGGTACACAGACCTGCACATCAGTCAAACGCTCCCCAAAACCAACAAAATCAATAAGGTAGGCATGACAAATAAACTCCAAATTACATTGTTTGTAACCTGTCCTACATATCACGTTCTGTCATTTATAGGAGTGGGTTATGAGTCATTGTTATTTCTCAGGGGATAAGGAAATGGCACAAAAATATCTTTCAGCGACATTGATGTTTACACAGATGCATTTGCTTTCATACGCTGAATTTGTGGCAGCTCAGGGTTTATGTTTAGTTGCTCTGGAATGAAGTTTATCATATGATTCTAAAAGTGAAGGTTTAGAATGAAAATAAAAGCTTCAATAGTACTAAACCTTGTGGGCTATTTTACCAGTACAGTGTTCATAAATCTATTTTTAAAATAATTTTGGGTCGATGATAGTTCTTCATTTCTATATATTGATGTGACTTGATAAACCATGTGTAAATCATGTACGAGTAAACAGTCTACCAATTAAATGACCAATTCCAGAACCTTCCTCCTGAGAGTGACTTTGTGCTGCTCATTGTTAAAGAAAAATAAACAACTTAGGAAATAGAAGGAAAATGTCAAAAAGAAGCTAAAAAGTGTGTACACCCTTACAACCGAGAAAATTGTATTTCAATTAAGAAATAGTTCCAGGGTTTCTGTGTTTTCATGCGAGATGAAAACACAGAAAACTTAAATTGAAGACAAAGTGGACAGACACCTTTCTATAATTGGAGCAATAGTTTGCAGTGTCCTTTCACCTCTCCTTATCACTTCACAGTTTAGATTTTCCTTTTGAAAGAAACCAATGCTAGAAAGCAAATGTTTCAGATTTTTTAAAACAATTTCAGATTTTTCTTTTGTTGTCCTTTTGGATAGGAGTTAAGCATTTTATGGCATGATGATCTGAATCTTTAAAAGCCTGACATGTTTTTCAAATGGTCAAACTGATTTTATTGTGTCTCTCAGAAACAGTTTTTTTTTCTTGGTTTTACCTTTCACTTTTCTTTTGTTGTTGTTTTGCCACTGCTTTGTTCATTGCTTTGAACCAGAGTTTTGAAGACATTCATTTCAGGGGCATAATTGATAATCACATGAATTCAGAGATGTTTTTTATTTTTCCCTGTCTCTCTTCAGGATCACATCCCGGTCCCCTACCAACCGGACTCCAGCAGTAATCCCTCATCCACCACTTCCTCCACTCCGTCCTCCCCGGCTCCTCCGTTGCCCAGCAGTGCCACTCCGCCATCACCACTGCATCCTTCTCCACAGTCGGCACGGCAGCAAAAACAGTTCAACTTGACTGGTAGGAACAAAGTTAACAAAACCTTTTCACCCTTATATATATATAAGGAATAGTTCAAATGCATCAGAAATTAACACTGAAAACCCACAAAACCATCCCCCCAACCCCCCCACACACCCCCCCCCCCCACCCCCCACCAACACACACACACACACACACACACACACGTAAAAACACCAAACAGAACATTTTGTCCGTTGCAAATTTCTGTTTTTCAATTTCCATTTTGCGACCATTAGGAAGAGATCGCCTGAACTTAAACGCCTGCACTTCCGATTATCTGTCAGAAAATGCATGTGGGTCACCTTATTTTTGTCTTAATTGAACCACAATACTCCGAACTGCGCAGCAAGAGTACATGTTAAGGTGATGAAAGATAAGCTAAAATAGCTAAACTACTCTCCACTTCCTTTATATAGCTATCTATTTTTAATTAAAGCTTTTTACTGACCTGTGAAATGCGACCCCTTTGGATCTTGTCATCTTGCTGTCATAGTGTTGACAATTAATATCGAAACTTTGCTTCCCTTTCTCAGATTCTTTGCTCGATTGTGTCATTTTCCCGACCACTGATATTCCTGACTCAATGCAAAGCAATAGCGCATGTAAGGCTCTGCCACTGTTAAGACTTGGCAGTGTTGTTCTACTTCTCTAATCTCATCTGAACCACTGCCCTAACGCTCTCTGACAACGGTCATTATAGTAATGTTTACACATCCCTTCAAAATAAGATACAGATGTGCCACAAAAACGAACATTTTACTTTCATAAAAGTTTTAACTCACAATAATGACTATTGGGAGCCCTGAGCTTGATTCTCTGCAATGGATTCTCTGCACTGAGACGGTCCATCTGGGAGTGATGAGAGACAATGACACCCAAAGTGTTGCTTATGCACAGGGTGTTTGGTTTCTACGTGGCGAAGCAGTTTGAAGCTTCATTCCCTCATTAGCAAGCCGGTCGCCGCATATCATGCACAGAACTGACTTTTTTAGAATTGAGTTAAAGGATTTTCAAAATAAAAGATCCTCCAGACTCAAATAAAACATAAAACGGAAATTTTAAATTATTTCCTTTGCATTGAGAAACTCTATGCAGAAATGAGTGTCAATATCTTTGCAAGACGCCTAGCATAGCTTTAGCCATTCTTAATATCTTCTTTCTCAAAAGAAAGACGATATTAATGCAGTTAATTTTGACATTAACACCACCTTCTTTGCTTTTTTGATTGAAATTCCACTGTCAGTGTCGTTGAAGATTTTCTTCAAAGACAAAATATTATAAGGAGTGAAGCTCACACCTTAGTTGAACATTTTGGGAGTCTCGGAAATTTCTAGTTTGCAAAAAGTTGCAATTTTTGCACATTTTTGCATTCTTGATGAGATTTTTTGAAAGTCTTTTTTTTTTTTATCTTAACAGGTAGTCATCCAAAATGCAGTTTTGTACAAACTTTAATCATTTAATTGAAAATTAAAATGCATTTTGTAATCCCTCTGTGTATTACCCTATTAAAGCTCAAATTAGATGATTTAACTCTGGCTCATCTGTTTCTTCTACTTCCACAGCCTCCAGTTACTTCAAATACAAACAGCAATTCATCTTCCCTGGTAAGACTCTGAGTAATTTATCATTTTAAATCCTTCAGTGCTTTGAAACCAACCAATGATGAGTAAGGAAAAATGTTTTGATGTCAGTAGTAATATTTTTTTCTTTTCTCACCTTGGCTTGTTGAAGACTCTTGGCTCCTACACCCACTCATGCTTGTCTCATTTTGGGTTCCTAATGATTTGTCAGAGCCCAGATTCTCTCGCTTTTGTCAACAGTGGTACCATTCACTAGTAGCTCATTTGGCAGCCTATTACAGCTGGGAGAACCTGGAGAGGCTTGGGGGAAAAGCAGACGGTGTAGCTTGCAGAGATCTGTTGAGGCAGGTGTTCGGAAACCCATGCATTTGTGCTGTACTGCGGACAGCTGCATGTGTTACTTATTGTCAACTCATACTCTTTTTAGTCACATTTACATTAACTGCCTTATTCATCTGTATAACAGAACTAGTTTGTCACTTTCTGTTACAATATTATGTGGAAGTTGATCCACTTTAACACTAATCTCCTAATAAGTTGGTGATTCTCGTTTACAAAAATCAAACACAAACTATGTATATAAGGTGCCTAAAGGCAAGACCAGCATTGTGTTGAATGTTTTCAAATGTGAATGTAAGAATTGTGATACATCTGTATGGGCTCATTCATGTCACAGCAATCATATGGCTGAAATATAGAGATTTGTCATATAAATTACATATTGCATCTGAATGGCTTAGATTGGACACTGAGTGCTTGCAGTCCTTCTGGTTTGCAGGTTTTTGGAGCCAGTCCATGAAAGCATTCATGAAAGCTCCACATGAAAAAGGAAAAACAGGTCCCTCTTGCTGTGAGGTGACAGTGCCACCTTCTAATGTGCCATGCAACTGAGGGACTTTCTGCAGCTTGCACTTTGTTTCACAAATTGTCACAGTGTGTTAACACCGACAGCAGTTATGGTGTGTCTCTCAGAGGAAGAGTCAACACGAAAGCTGCCCTTACTTCATATTCCCTATGAAATGTTGTGCTTTTAAAGAATAGAAAAAATAACTTAAAACTTTACTCATATAGCCGAATTTAACAACTGACATAAAGTTATTAAATGTACAGTTCTTATTTTATGAGGTGTGTTGTTATGCATGTAACCTGACCTTACCTTGCTGTTTAAACAACTTTCAATCGCCATTGGTAAGCTTTAGAGGTTTTTCACTTACAAAGTGGCAAGATAAGTATGTCATCCTCATCTAATGCTGGTTGCCACAGTTGAAGTTAGTTTAATTTTACTATTTTTGTTCAGGAGATGGGCACACTTGGCATGATGCTACTCTATTTTCTAATTAATGAGTTTAAAAAAATCCACACCTTTAATTTAATGCCATGTTTTTTTTGTCTGTTCAGTTTTTAAAAATGGCTAAGAGAAGCAATTTTATGTCATATAGCTACCACATAAAAATGAGAAAACATGCAGTATTAAATAAAGGATCACTGACACAGTGACCAAAATATACATGTAAAAAATGCTTCAGATAAATATAGACAATTTTAGATTACTTTAAGAACATGTGTCATAGTCCCCCACTGTATAATTGCACTAAAACAAAAAACAAAAAAAAAAAAAAAAACTGGATTGATATGTTTTCTTCTGCTTTTTTGTGTTTTTTTCTGAGTGGATGCCACTGCAATAAAATGTTGATGTATATTTTAAGAGATTTAGCCTTCCTTAGCTGTGGTGCCAATCATTTCGGAAAGTCTTATTATGTACAGTAAAATATGAACACTTATTTTTTTTTCCTACATTTATGCAAATACTTATTTCATAACACACAGTGCCATGCAAGGCAAATTTTGAATACACAGACATTTTACTGCTGACATTTTTGCATCTAAATTATTCTGTTCTGCATTTTTATTGAGAAAAAGCAACTCACAAGATGAAATAAAAAAAAGTAAAAAAAATACAGTTGCCTCTTTTTTCAATCTCTGACAATGTCAGTCTTCAGAAATGACATCCATTTTGCCCCAATGCATGCATGATTGATAAAAGGCATTTTTTAAATCTAGTTTTTCTTTTTTTTAAATCAGTCTTAATCTACTTGTTCCAAACAATATCCCTAATAAATTCACTGGCACATAAAAGGTGCCTGCTTTTATTTTTGCAAACAACACAATGAAATCCACTGTAGTTATAATCATATAATGAATTAATTCATGTATTTACCTACATAAATGTAATTTGAAGATGTCTTGGACTGGTTTGCAGCTTCTAAATCAGGTTATATAATACAATTTATAAAAAAATATTGTAGGCTAAGATTAAATCATGTTTTATAGTTTAGACTTCTGGGGTATGTCCACCTACAGTACAAGTGGATGTGATTAAGTTGTAGTCTTGGCATGACAATAAAATGAGATAGCTCTTTCTTCAAGTCTTCGTTAGATAGAACCAAACAATTGTGCTTGTCTAATTCGTAGATTAGCTACCATCGCTGAACTAATTTCATATATACGCATATATAACTTTGATTGCTTGGATAAATTATAAAGTCTTTTAACTTCAATGTCTCCAGATGTTACACCAGAGGCACCTCCCAGTAGAGCACCGCAAGTCATTCTGCATCCGGTCCTCTCTGAACAGGGGTGAGTAGAACACATATTGTTATTCATCCATCCCTTTTCCTCTGTCTGTCCTTGTCTGACAGTATACCGTGTCTCCTCCTCGCGCGTCTCTCTTCCTCTCTGTGACCGCCGTTCAGAGGCCAAGTCAGACTTATTGGAGCACAGATATTTGGGTGACAATTTCAATGTGAGGGACGACATGACGATTACTCAGAGACTAATGTTAGCATGGCCTTTACTTCACGCTACACTTGGGATGCCAAGTGGATTTTCACTGACTCTTTGAGGAAGCCACTGGTCATGGGAAAACATCCGGAAGAGGAAGATACTGTAGGTGATGAGATGCCTTTTGACCCTGATGTTAATTGGATTAGCATCTCAATCTAACACAGGAAACAAGAGAAACTTAATCCACAGCAGATGGTCATTTATAATTATATCATTGTTTAGTCTACACTGACACAAGAAAATATCAAAGTATTTTTATTTTTTTTTTGTTATTCATATGAAATGCATGAAAAAGCTGATCTACAGTAAAGGCACATGTTTTGACATTTATATGCCAGAGTGTTGAAACAGCTGCCAGCTTTAAGATCAAATCTTTTAATAAATATCTTAAAGTAAGAGGAATCAATTAAGCAAATTAATTTTTTGAACATAACTGATGACTTTCTTTCAAAATGGCTTACCATAATCCACTGCTAATGGTTGGCAAATACAATTGTTTCAGTAACTCAAGTGAAACGTATTATGTAGATCAATTACACAGAAATGGATGTTTTTAAGCCTTTATTTCTATTAATTATGTTTTTTCTGCTGAAGGCTAATCAAAACATGCCATTTAATTTCTTGGAAAGCTACAATACACCTAACCAATAACACACATTTTAATGCAGAAATGTGGGCTTAAAGTAAAGTATGTTTAAAGGTTGTCATTTGCAAAATGCACTTTTAATCTGACAAATGAGCCTCATCAGAACAAATATTTTATGACTGGAAATAAGAAATGAGCTCTTGAGGAGCATAACACGGAGAAACTGATTTAGAAGTCTCCCTTGCAAGCTATACATTTCCCCACTGTTAGTCAGTTCATCACATTGTTTACTCTGCTTCTGTAGTGCTTAGAAAATAATTTCCATTTGTTCATGATGCATTCTGTCATCTGCAACTGAATAATTTTAAGTAAGTACCTCAGAATAATATTCTAAACGCTCTTGTCTCTGAATTATGTGACTTAAGTGACGCACTTTCAGCTTTTTACTGTTTCTCTTTTCTCACTGTTGTCTGTCTTTTGACAAATGTAAATACATCAAAGTTTTAAAACCTATATTCCTCCTTCACTGGTGTCATTGTCTCTCTCTATCCACATCTTGCTATGCTATTGCAGTAGCTGGTGACAAATTTCTCTAGCCTTAACGGCCTCATCCCAGGGTTAATGAGGGCCTGTTTCAGACCTCAACGCCCTGCAGGATTCCCTCATTAGAGCAGAGATCGAATCGCTACTATGAGCCTCTGGCGCCACAGGAATCACATTATTTTATAAGCTGCCTCACCTGTAGTCTCTGCCCAGAGTCCAGGAATGCTTTGTTAACAAGTGCTAATGTACCTCTGGAGAGGTTGTCAGAGGTTACACACTAATGTTACACAGTGTGGAATATGAGGGCTTGTTTTAGTCTTGTTATTGCCTCCCACTGTGCATGAATCTGAAGGTATACATCCTGGGGTCAGAAATAAATTGGGCCTCAGGGTGAAAAAGCACTTTGAAGTTAATAAAAAGATTGAGACATTAAAAATTGAGGTCAAGAAATGGGAGTTTCTTACATTTCTACACTGCTCAAAATGTATTCATGAATCCATCATTGTCCTTTTACTGTGTTGTGGAATGGTGCCGGTAATTTATTCATAAAAAAAAATGTCTCCAGATTTCTTTCCAATTTAATATGATGAGATATTATGACGTGATGGTCCAAAAAAAGGAAAAAAAAAAAATTCAATGCAGAAAAAATGTTGGTGGTCAAAAAAACTTCTCAAACTATTTTATGAAGAAAAAACAATACTCTGGATTTCAGTTCTTAGGCCGCTGTTGCAGAGAAGACACGTTCTGTGAAATGACTAAAATAAAGCAGATGTAATTTCAGAAATGGCTCGAAGCTGTGAAAATGGCTCATTTCATACTCATTGAGGTGGCCTCAATAACAGACCTCGTGTCTAACAAAGGGATTCTACATCAGCGGGATGGCTGCTCTTTTGGTGTCTTGTTGAAAGCAGACTGAAAAAAGGTTACCAGTGCACAGACAAAGGTGGCAAGTAGCTTCAATATCCAGCCACGCAGACTGCGGCATATTTATAGCGTTGTGCTTCGGTGCACAAAAGGTGTATCTAGGTATAATAGCAAATATTTCAGCTTCTCTAAGATTGCTCCACACCCACAGGCACCCACAGTTTATCAGGTGCAGCTGCAATCAATCAGCAATCAGCGCAGCGAAGCAGCAACACAGAATACATTTCCATACAATAAACAATCCAGTGGCTTTTATACAAGATCCAGAAAACTTTGATGTAAATAATTTTTGTGTAATTAAGGCAGAAATAGTGCCTCATTTGGCAAAGTCTTTGTCAAACATGAGTCCGATACAAAAATGACCTTTCATGGCCGGCTCTCCCACCTGATTATGACACACCCAACAAAAAAACTTTATTTGTGCCACTTCCATAAGAGGTACTTATTCAAATATGCATCCAATAGCTTTCAAAGTGTCTAGCCTGAAAAATCATGTTGAATTTTCTTACATCATTGTAAATCCAGACACAAACAATGATGGAAAATTAAATTAAAGTTCCAAAAATTATGAAAGAAGTCTGTGTCAGTGAAAGGCATCACAATCCCACCACTCCTGGTTCCGCGTATTGATCCAAACAGACTTCTTTGTGCAGTCAATACTCCACAAAAGATCATTGCTATTAGTTATGATTTCTTTTCATTAGCTTCCTTTTTCTTATTATCCCATGACAATACTATCGACTTCCATCTCTGAGTAACATTCAAGTTTATCCACTAGTGGCCGCATCTATCAGTACTTCTGTAAACAGTGCATTGCTGTGATCAATTAAAGTAGAGACAATCAAAGCATTTCTTTGTCTGATTTCTACTTTACTTTTCTAAAGATCAGAACTTTTGATGAGTAATCGACAACTTCCTGTTTTCCTGAGGTATAAATATCATTTGATATAGCAGCCCAGTTACCTTACCCTTCAAAGTGGGAAAGACAAGCAAACATAGCATTCAAGGTAGAGGTGTTGCTCTTCATCAGTCAAAGTACGGCTATTAAAAACAGCCACTTAGCATACCCCACATCTGGGAAAGATGTGTGAGAAAGTTTAGAATAATTTAGTCTTTTGTTCAACGAGTATAATTAAACAGGACATTTCTGCCTTTAATTTGGTTGCATTGTTTAGTGAGGAAAAAACAAATGAAGAAATAATAGTTTTTGTTGTTGTTGTTTTACAAAATTACAGAGCCACAATTAGTTGGACCCCTAAGAATCCTATTAAAATGAATGGAAATTAAGCTTTTTAATTTATACTTGTGTGTAGGAGTTTTTAATTAGTAAGCCATGATTTCATGTTGCACTGGGGAAATAAATATGACCATTTCTGTTTGCCTCTTTTCATGTTAAGAAAGACATGTTGTTCCAGGAAAAAAAGCTAACCATTGTAAACTTGGCCATATCTACACTCAGAGCAATAAATAAGCTAAAAACAAAAGGAAGTTTAACAATGACCCAATTTTTACATAGAAAAGGATGGTAAAAAGTGTAAATAAATAAATAAAAATAAGTGTCTAAAAATGACTGAGGATCTGAGCGTGCCACATGTCTGACACTATATCTTCATCTGTTGAAGGTTTGCAGCTACACATTACAGTAACTATTACCAACATATCACACCTTTCTTTCACAACCTCCATTTCCAGAGGGAGTTGCAAATGTCACAATCACTAAAATCATCTGTCCATATCAGGTGGATTTCTGGTTAGAGCCACTATAGTGTCAGAAAATCACTTGACTCTAGCGATCAGTTCTTTAAAAGTGCTTAAAGTTATATTAATGTAGAGACCCTATTAGTTTATATTTTCATTAAAACGTGTTTTTCTTTCAGGAATGAGGGCAACCCCTTACTTCAAATCGAAGTGGAACCGACCTCAGATGTGAGTCCTTCTTTGATTGATCTGAATTTAGGTGTAACTTCAAGTTTTCAGATCAACAGTTGCTTTGCATTTCCACATTGTCGTGTGAATTTGTGAGTGAATGTGAATAGAATGAAAGCAGAGCTCTCACCATCGCTCGTCACAGTCATTTGCGTGATTTTCCCATTTAGCATAATTTGTCTTGGCTCTCCGAGGTGCCTCCAGGTAAGTTATGCGTCAAAAGCAGCAAGACTGCTGCTCGTCAGTTCTGTTTCTGTAACAATGACGGATCCTGAGAAAATGTAATGCAGATTGCTTTGAATTATATCGCAGCTGGCATCGTTGAATAGCCTATTTTCACTCTTTCAGTTCATTATATTTAAAATCAAATCAGAGTAACTCAGCCACCTTTTTCCCCTCTAGTTGTTTTCTCTTTTTAAAACGCAATTTCCTCTGGTAAGAGCCTGAACAACAGTCTGCATTTCAAAAACACAGTCCAGATAACAATGAAGTTCTTTTTTCAATAGGGAAGTACTGATAATTGATAAGCTATGAGATTATGTTCCAATTGAATATAATTAAAATTCAGATGCTCCTTTAGCTGTAACTTTTAAACAAGGACATACAGAAAGAATATTTAATTAATGCTTTTCTTTACTGCATTTTTTGGGACATCGATGTCTGCGGGGTTCTGTTGTTAGTTCATTTGTTGTGCTTTTTACATTTTCAAATTTATTCGTATGTTCTTTTTTGTAGATGCTAGAACATTTTTTTAATATTACCTACATTTAATTGTGAAATGTGAAACGAGTAGAATTGATCATATTTTTTCTTTGCCTTTCTGCCACAAGAGATTATGTCATGTCCCTGTGTGAGAGCAGTCACTGTAAAACAGGATCTTACTGTTATTTTTACATGATAATTTTTACAGAGTTTATGTTTTTAAGCTCTCTTAAGCATCTTACATTTGACCAGATAGCAGCTCTAACATAACAAAAACTGCAGGCTCTGTATTTAGTGTAGATGCATGTCTTATCTCTGATATTGATTATCAATATTTTCAAATCCAACATGTTCCATGACTGAGTCTGAAAGGTCTTAGGGATACAATAGAGCATCTTGTTCCTATTACCTGCTCAATGTCTTGTTATATACCGAAGCCTAAATGAACTATGGCCATGTCTCAACATGATATAGGAACAATTTAAGCTTCATTTTAAATAGTGTCTTATGTTTCTGTGTGATCTCTTACTCCATCCTGAAACTGGTTAATTTTGACTCATCTTCACTCACTAACAGAGTCTACACTGGGCAGTATTGTTGTCAGAGCAACCTGGTAGAGAAAATAGTATTCACTGATTGGAAAGATGAGATTTTTGAGTTCTCAACCAGCCACTCAACCGTCAAGGCCAGTCAAACTGAAAATTATCCAGTTCCAGTGAAACCCTGGTAGTAGAATGGAAGAACACAATGAATTACGATTGCAATCATCAGTACAATATCTATATTTGGAAATTTGCAACCACAAATGATTGCTTGGATACAATATTGTTGCAAAAGTTCATAATTGAAGGGGATATCGTGATGAAGGAAAAGATAAATAAAAGCCAGGAAAATGTGGCTTATTTGTTATGAATACGTTAATCCACATTTCCAAAAACAATATCACAATTGCATGTTAATCTGATAACCTACAGTTCAAATACCCTGGTTTGTGTTCCTTGCTTTACCGCAGAATGAAGATGCGAACAATGAGGACTCCGGCGATGAGTTTGAGGAGATGAATTTGTCCCTTTTGTCTGCTCGCAACTTCCCACGCAAAGCCAGCCAGACGAGCATCTTCCTACAGGAGTGGGACATCCCCTTTGAGCAGCTGGAGATTGGAGAGATGATCGGCAAAGGGCGCTTCGGCAAGGTGTTCCACGGACGGTGGCACGGAGAGGTTGCCATACGATTGATCGATATTGAGCGGGACAACGAAGACCAGCTGAAGGCTTTCAAACGGGAGGTGATGGCGTACCGCAACACTCGCCATGAGAATGTGGTGCTGTTCATGGGGGTGTGCATGAGCCCACCGCACCTGGCCATCATCACCAGGTAAGGTGAAAGATGTTACAGATTATGTTGGAGATGAAATCAGTATGTTGAGGACTGATAAAGATTTCTACTCTTTAAGAAGTAAAACTTGTATTATTATTATCAATATATCTCTTGAAAATAATTTCAGAACAACAGTATTATCAATTATCACAATAATTTCCGGGGCAATTTATCATCCTGTAAAATTTGTAATCATAACATCTCTAAATTGAGTTCCTCAAGCAGTGCAACATTTAGGAAGGTAAAGAAATCTTTTAATTCGATGGTTTGAAATGTTCACTTTGAGGCTAATTTTGGCTCAAAATATCACAAAAATTTTATAAAATAGCGCTCTACATTATTATAATTATAATCATTATTGTAATAACAAACATGCTTTTAACAGTAAGAAAGTCAAATAAACAATGCAGTTTTCATTTGTCCAGTGGTTCTGACTTGTTTCATGCTTATCGCATCATATCTGTGAAATGTGTGGTTTTGCTTTACGGGCTGGCAGCTGTGAGGTCTTTGCAGTCAGCATCCCCCTGGCACTCCTTTCAGATCAGCCACAGATCTGCTCCGTTATGGAGTGTCTGACAGTGAAACATGCAGACGTTATGATTAGAACAGGCTGCGACTGTTGCTGAGTAGATGAACCACCCACACCTCACAGCAAACTGGATTTTTTCTGACAGCCTGACAGAAGATAAAGCATTGCAAGTGAACTTGAATGAATTTTCTCACGTAGTTAACACCTTTTAATTATTTCATGGATTAGTGCTTTCCTTCTCACAGTATAGGGAGAGGGGCCTGTTATTATTCAAGGACATCGCAAGAAATGCTCTCATTTAATTAATTAGAAAAGCTAATTATGTTTAAACGCAAATTGTTTGGATATTGGAGACTGCCATTGTTAGCTTCACTCTGAAAAAAAGAGTCACACAGAAAATCATCATCCTCTCATTTCTTCTCTTTCCTGTTCCATTTCTTTACAGAGAATGGAGAATCTCACTGTATTCATATGCACTTTTCTTAACAAACACGTTTCTGCAAGAAAAACATCTCTGTTTTCTTCACATTTACTGTGTAACAGGTTACACGTTTGTAGTTGTAGTTGTATGATTGCAGGTGATGTCAGATGAAATTGCTGTGAATGCAGGGGAGCTGGCAGATGAGCCGCCTGCCTCTTGGAAACCTTCTCTTGTGATTGCTCAAAATAATAGCAAATGTCAGTACAACATGGGGCTTTTTTTACATATCAGACTGATGAGAATGATAAAAGTCTTTAAAATGCAACTCTAACAACTCTATATAGGTCAAAGTGTAACTTGGTTTAGTATAATCAAACTAAAATAAAGTATATTGTTATTTTTAAATGAGGAATTTCTGTTTGCGTGAGTTAGATCATTAACACTGATGACTTCCTCATATTTTGATTGTTTCCTTTGTGACGAAGTCTGGATTGATTTTTTGCAGAGCACACAGAACACGTTTTATGCGTTTGACGTAATCTGTGATGTCATTGCTGCTTTTTTACTCTTGCACATGGCGTAACCACCTCATTTTGAAACACAGGGGTGAATCTCAGCATGTTAAGATGGCCTCATTAGCTTTTTATTTATTTATTTGCAAATACCTTCAGAGGTGAAGGTATTTGCCATCAGACATAGGAAGCTGCATTTGAGAAAAATAATGAAGTGGGATGGCTCCTAAAGATTTGGCTCCTGTCAGCTTGTTGCTATGAGATGAATATGCATGAATCGTGGGCGCTGTGCCCCCTTAACTGTGGGGGCACAGTGGGGGTTGAGGGTCTCAAGTGTGAGTCAGTGGGGGGTTTGGTAGCTGTCAATTAAAATGCATTTTGTTAGGGCAGCCCTGGAGAAGTGTTACACCTTCTATCAGAAATGGAGTAATGAGGAAAACATTGTTTAATAATCATATAAAATAAAGCATGAGTTTAAGAAAATCTGGATTAAAAAAGATTCAGTGATAAAGATCAGTTTCAACAAAAACACACTGTATGACTCAATGTGTTTTTATAAGGAGCAATACAGGTTGGGGACACTATTTGAAGTGAACTACTGAAAGAGATGCACTTTTTATTGCTATTCTAATTAACGGTAATTCTACTGTATAATCAGTGACTCACAGGTTTGTGATGAAGGCTTTCCTTATCCAAGTGCAGATCACACAGGCCATCTTGGTCTCCATTCTGAATGATTAGGGAAAGGGGATCTTCATGTTGGACAGTTTATAGATAAACTTTGATGTGAAATGCAACTTTACCTTTTTAAAACAGATCCTTACAATCTTTGATTTAATCTGTTTTGTATTTTTCTTTCCACAATGCAGATTTCATGGTTCATTTCTTATGCTGATTTAATGCTGATTTTATAACCTTTCTCCTCTCTGTCAGCTTGTGTAAAGGCAGGACACTTTACTCTGTGGTGCGGGATGCCAAGGTTGTCCTGGACGTTAACAAGACGCGACAGATTGCACAAGAGATGGTCAAGGTAAAAAAAAAAAAAAAAAAAAAAAAAAAAATCAACGTTGATTCCCAGGAACACTTCAGCAGCCAACATCACATTACAGGACATTCATCTATCTCTCTTCCCCTTCTTCTCAGGGGATGGGCTACCTCCATGCTAAGGGGATTTTACACAAAGACATGAAGTCCAAGAATGTGTTTTATGATAACGGCAAAGTTGTCATCACTGACTTTGGACTTTTTACCATATCTGGAGTTCTGCAGGCTGGCAGGTAAATATGTATGAATATGTATATGTTAGACACAGAAGCTCACATTTGTTTTGCAAATACACACCTGAAAGCTTAGTTCAAAACTGACACATGCAGCTTTTTGCTGTGACAGGGTGATTGGAAACATATTTATACAAGAACAAAATATTTGGCTTGATTTTATTTATACTTTACCACCATTATGGTAATAAAAAGCCTATTTAGTTAGTATTTAGTCATAAATGTAAGATGCCGCTACTAAAAAGACTAAAAGAACACTATTTAGGGAAATATAAAAAGGAAATATCAATGAAACAGTAGATTAATTTCCTTCATAAATACTGAATATAGAAGTCGCAGAGATGTTAAAAAGCCTTCTTGTCACTTTTTATAGGATTTCCAAGCTTCCAATTTTCATCTAAGTTGAAGACAACTTTGATTAAATGTGTATTATCTTCACAAGCTTTTTTTTTATTGCATTAACACATATTTACAGCAAAATCATGGATTTTGCAAAAAAATCAAACTCTATGGAATAATTAAGTTTATTGTGGTTCTCCGATGTCTCCTCACTATTACTGAATTACATTTTGATCTTTAAAATATGACAGTAATTATTGAATTTACCAAGATATGACACAATTACATACAGTATTTAAATCTGCTCATAAACATTATTGGAAACTTTTACAAAAAAACGTAAGTTTCATGCCAAAGGTATAACAGGGTTTTCAGAAATGTGGAAAATACTACTATCAGAAGCCTTGATAAATAATTTTTTTACCCTTACAAACTTGTACTAATAAAGGCTTGCCAGGATCTCAGGTACTGGATTCTGTTCCTTTAGCACACCGAGGAGGTCAGTAGTCTTACATATTTCAAAAAAGCCTCTTTTGTCAGAAAACTGTTTGAATTGAAGGTCCTTGGTCTTTCATTGGCACAATAACCTTAAGCTCACTTCCAGCAACACAAAAGAAGGTTTGAAAAGGAGACAAAGAGCAATTTTAAGCTCACCAGAAAGCTTCCTATCTAAATCATTCTGAAAATCTTTGCAGAGCTGACATTTGTCGTCACAAAACAAATATCTACACATTTATATCTTGAGGTACTTAAATGGGTAGGAGTACCTAAAAGTAACATCTGAGAGACTCAAAAAGTCAAAGATTGCGATGCCATCATCTTTTCTTTGATTAGTTCAATTATCCTATCTTGCAGGTACTTGTGTGTGTATATATATATATATATATATATACAGTTAGGGCCAGAAATATTTGGACAGTGACACAGGTTTTGTTATTTTAGCTGTTGACAAAAATATGTTCAGAAATACAATTTATATATAATATGGGCTGAAAGTGCACACTCCCAGCTGCAATATGAAAGTTTCCACATCCAAATCGGAGAAAGGGTTTAGGAATCATAGCTCTGTAATGCAGAGCCTCCTCTTTTTCAAGGGACCAAAAGTAATTGGACAATGGACTCCAAAGGCTGCAAGTAACTCAAAAGGCCTTTCCCTCGTTAACCTGTAATCAAGTAAGTAGTTAAAAGGTCTGGGGTTGTTTCCAGGTGTGTGGTTTTGCATTTGGAAGCTGTTGCTGTGACCAGACAACATGCGGTCAAAGGAGCTCTCAATTGAGGTGAAGCAGAACATCCTGAGACTGAAAAAAAAGAAAAAATCCATCAGAGAGATGGCAGACATGCTTGGAGTAGCAAAATCAACAGTCGGGTACATTCTGAGGAAAAAGGAATTGACTGGTGAGCTTGGGAACTCAAAAAGGCCTGGGCGTCCACGGAAGACAACGGTGGTGGATGATCGCCGCATACTTTCTTTGGTGAAGAAGGACCCGTTCACAACATCAACTGAGGTCCAGAACACTCTCAGAGAAGTAGGTGTATCTGTCTCTAAGTCAACAGTAAAGAGAAGACTCCATGAAAGCAAATACAAAGGGTTCACATGTAGATGCAAACCATTCATCAATTCCAAAAATAGACAGGCCAGAGTTAAATTTGCCCAAAATCACCTCAAGAAGCCAGCCCAGTTCTGGAAAAGTATTCTATGGACAGATGAGACAAAGATCAACCTGTACCAGAATGATGGTAAGAAAAAAGTTTGGAGAAGAAAGGGAACGGCAAATGATCCAAGGCACACCACATCCTCTGTAAAACATGGTGGAGGCAACGTGATGGCATGGGCATGCATGGCTTTCAATGGCACTGGGTCACTTGTGTGTATTGATGACATAACAGCAGACAAGAGTAGCCGGATGAATTCTGAAGTGTACCGGGATATACTGTCAGCCCAGATTCAGCCAAATGCTGCAAAGTACTGTGAAGCTGCAAAGCTTCACAGTACAGATGGATAATGACCCCAAGCATGCAGCCAAAGCTACCCAGGAGTTCATGAGAGCAAAAAGGTGGAATATTCTGCAATGGCCAAGTCAATCACCAGATCTTAACCCAATTGAGCATGCATTTCACTTGCTCAAATCCAGACTTCAGACGGAAAGACCCACTAACAAGCAAGACCTGAAGGCTGCGGCTGTAAAGGCCTGGCAAAGCATTAAGAAGGAGGAAACCCAGCGTTTGGTGATGTCCATGGGTTCCAGACTTAAGGCAGTGATTGCCTCCAAAGGATTCGCAACAAAATATTGAGAAAAAACTTTTTTGTTTGGGTTATGTTTATATGTCCAATTACTTTTGAGCTCCTAAAATGTGGAGTGTTTGTAAACAAATGTGTACAATTCCTACATTTTCTATCACATATTTTTGTTCAACCCTTTAAATTAAACGTTACAATCTGCACTTGAATTCTGTTGTAGAGGTTTCATTTCAAATCCAATGCGGTGGCATGCAGAGCCCAACTCACGAAAATTGTGTTACTGTCCAAATATTTCTGGCCCTAACTGTATATATATATATATATATATATATATATATATATATATATATATATATACATATATATATATACAGAGCATGAGAATTTGATGGTTAAGTGATCCTTTGAAATTGAAAATAAACTAAATGAGAAAAGCAAAGGTGGTATGATGCAAGAAAAGAGAAATGTTGAGATTTTTTTAGGTTTTTATAATTAATAAACAATATATAATTACCAACAGCTGTAAATGTTTGACTTTATGTTCATTGTGTGTGTGGATAAAATAGAAGATTATAATTAAATAATAACGCATGTGTAATAAGTGTAGGTCAATTGATCATAAGCCAAAGAGACTGGAATCTATAGACCAATTTGTAACTGATGTTTTGTTTATCTCATTTTTCACAAAATTAAAAGTAAATGTAACCTAAATTTGCCATTTTGATTGACAAGTTGACACTGAGTCATATTACTCTCTATAAGTAAATACTCTCACATTTGTTGAAACCAAGCCAATAATAATGATTACATTTACCCTAATCATGATCACAACACTATTTGCTCTGACATTAAAATCTACTGCAATAATCAATGTGACACAAGTTGTCCAAACAGTATCTGTATACATTTAATAATAACAGTCCAAATGTCAAACCACACTGGCCCTAAGCCTCCAGAAACAATAATTATTTTTGCTCTATTTTTTCAAGAAAATTCAAATGCCAAAGGCAAACCTGTGACTCTTTATTTTTTTTATCTGAAAACATGACAACACCACAGATGGCTGAAGACACCGTCATATATTTGCTGGTCTTTCTTTTTTATTTTTTCCTCATGTCATTGCGGTGGAATTTGACACAATGTAATCTCTAAAATTCAATTTAACGTATGACAAAGCTGTTTAAAAGTAAACCAGAATTCTAGCTTTGTGGATGTAACAAACTGCATAAAAGCAAGTTATCACAATACAACAGGAAGAGACACACTTTGTAACAAATATCCGTGTTTGTATCTCTCTGCTTTGCAGCAGGAGAGAAGACAAGCTGAGAATCCCCAACGGCTGGCTGTGTCACCTGGCCCCAGAAATTATTCAGCAGCTTTCTCCAGACACAGAGGAGGACAAGCTTCCTTTCTCCAAACAGTCAGACGTCTTTGCTTTCGGGTGAGTCTCCTCTAACCAGATGTCCAGGACTTTGTTTGTCCGGACCGTGTCTGAGTCTGGATATTTATAGCCAACTGTTGACAGTCCGAAAATGTGCAGAAATTCAAGCAGCAGACTCTGAGTTAAAGAAGTAAACATACAGTTTAATTAAAAACTATGTACGAAGCTACATAATGGAGAGTATATCATTAAAAAAGCCAGTTACTTAGTCTGAATAAAAGGCAAATATAAATACAAATGTTAACTAGCATTTCTATACAAAAAGTTTTCATAAAGTGGGTTAGTAAAAATATTATTTTTCATTAGTTCTCATGTTTTTAGCTGTTTATAAGCAGCTAACCAGATGTCCAAGTTAGCATCTGGTTCAATTTGAAGGTCAACATTCTTGACGTTTGTGCTAATAGTAAGAAATATATTGAATTAAATAAATCAGTGCAAAAACCTCATTTTCTTACGTGTCTTTCTTCAAACCCACCCAGACTGTCTTTGATTTGCTTCATCTCTGTCTTTAAAAAATACAGTTACACATTTTGAGTGAATTCATCCTACTGAATCTGAGAGTTATTACATATAGATTGCTTTTCTAAGTGTCAAATAAGTCTCTCAGACAAAAGTCTCTCCATTCTCCTCCTTCAATGACCAATTTTATATGTGCTCTAAGTTGATTAAAAAATCACTTCGGCTCCACTTTCTCCTCCTCATCCATAATGGCTTGGTTTGTGGGATAGACCCTGCTCTATTGACTATTAACACAACGTTTTCAGACGGTTCTCCTGTATGGATGCTTCATTGCTCTTATTATTCTGAAAGGAAGACAAGCGCTGCACTTATGCACAATGTCCTGCTGCTCTGTTGGCCTTTGTGCTACCTAGAGGTGATGCATATTCATCGACTATCAAGCGTCTGCTTTTTTTTTGTTTTCATTACTCCTGGCATTGAGCTATTTTCATTCTACTCAAACTAGTTGTACAGGAGTGAAAATAGTCTATTTGCACCAAAAAATATGTGTTTTCTGCATTAACCATATTTACCAATACTCTAGATTTATGATAAAACATATAATCTTAACCTATAAATAACTCTTCTAATGTTTCTATGGATCCCTTCTGTGCAGCAGTGTGATCTAATTCTGAAAGTATTGATTGAAGTTTAGTGCTTTTGCTTATCTGAATTCTACTGCTTCATATAATTCTTTAATAAAATAAGATATTTCAAAGCAGTGACGCTCGCTGCTCGTCTCTGTCTTCGCAGCACCATCTGGTATGAGTTACATGCACGTGAGTGGCCTTACAAGAGTCAGCCAGCGGAGGTGATCATATGGCAGATTGGAAGTGGCATGAAACCTAACCTTGCCCAAACTGGGATGGGGAAGGAAATACTGGTAAGGACTTTCTTCCTTTTTTACTTAATCATGATTCACATTTCTGATGGCGATAGCCTTCAAATTATGATGAATTCAAAATATTGTGTTTATGCAGGCCCAATTTACACAACACATCTTATTTTAATTCAATTAAAAAATTAGAAGCATCAAACAATATCCAGCTATGTAAACTTTGGCCCCAATGCAAGACATGGAACCGTTATGATCCAACAAATTGATCATAACTAACTAGCATTAGGTCTGTCTAATAGGCTGATTGTTGGTGAAATGCCACCGACATACAGGCACACTTAGCCACACTGTTTCTGAAAGTTTGCCCAAGTCTAAAAAAGTTTTTAAATTGTAAATTAGCAACATCCATTATTTCATTTTATATAATTAAACTTCAGGGTTCTTGCTGATTAAAATATGTCTGAAAAAGGCTTGCAAGCAATAATTAAACATAGATAAAACTAGAATGAGTTCTACTCGCAGCTGTGATGGAATTGATTACATTTTAGCTTTAGTCAGAAAATACCAGTTATTACTTTTTTTATTTTGGGGTAAATGGAAAGACTGTACTAATACTAAGCATAGTAGGGAAAGTAAGAGTCGAACATTGAGCTTCTTCTGATTAAAAAATAGGAACCTGATTAAAAAATAGGAACCTGCTGGGACTTATGTGTAAAAAATATATAAATGTTTCAAGCTGATTTTTTCCCTTTTCTTTTCAAACCTACACCATCCTCACTTATATAAACACCTCCCATATCTTCTCCTCAAATGTAAATGTTCTTACATGTTTCTCTCCCTACACAGTTATTAGCAACTCTGGTGGAAAAAGAAAACAAAACAACTTAATGATGAATTCAGCTTCTATTGCAGTACTATAATCTTACACTGGCAAATTGAAAATACAAAATATAAAGAAAATGAAAGTAGTCTGAATACTTCTTCAAGGTAATTTATCTTGATCCAGTGAGTAAAACTGAAGTGAAGTGATTTGTTTTTTTGTTTGAGACTGTTCTCTGGTTTGTTTGTTTTTCTCCAGGATATTTTGCTAATGTGTTGGGCGTACAAGCCAGAAGAGCGGCCCAGCTTTTCCAAGCTGGTAGATTTACTGGAAAAGTTGCCAAAAAGGAACCGCCGCCTTTCCCATCCAGGGCACTTCTGGAAGTCAGCTGAGTATGTCAAATGAGTTAGGCCATAAAACAACAGTCCACTACTTTTACCAATCAGCCGCCATTACTCCACATAAATATCCCACCTCTTTAAAGAATGCACTGAATCTAAAATCCAGCCCAGTGATGAAAACTGCCCATGCTGTGTGTATTTCTAAGGAATGTTGGCATTTGCGTGTACAGATGAGTTGACTGTCCACTTCCTGAAAGCAGTTGGGACTCATGTTTTCTTTAATTTGATGTCAAACACACTGTATATTTCTCCTTTATTTTTCAGTCTTTTATGAGTGACTCACTTGCTTCATTATATTTAATTTGTTTCTTGGCTGTATCTTCCTTGTAAGTTTCAACAGATCACGTCATCTTAAAAAAATAACATGTCTGAGAACAAATGTATATATTATTTTCACGTCTTGCTTTTTTGTTTTGAATGAACGTAGCTGGTGTACATCACATACTGTGCATATATTCATAACATTGTCTTACCATTTCTTCTGTCGTTCAGTTCTGTAGACACATTTTGTCATATTTACCTCATGGTTTTTTCATGTATGAATGTCCTCTTCATGTGTTTGTTGAACTTAAATGTCTTTTTATTTCCACCGAAACATTTGAATGTGAAGAAGGCAGTGTCCCTGTTTGTTTGAGAAGGTGTCAGGCCAGTGTTTTGATGAGACTGTTCTCTGGTTAAGCTTTGAATATTATCTGTGAACAGAGTAGATGTTAGAACAGCTGTGGCCTTTGAGCAGGATTCCCTCACTTGATGCTTTTCTGTGAAATTTCTGACACTTGAAATGTATCCAAACTGTTGCTAAAACTAGAAATCAAATATGCTGTCATTGAGCCCTTTTCACCAAGAACTAGTTCACTTGAGATAAAGTAGGTAAATACAATTGCATATTGTATTACACAAAGATAAAAAGCTAACGCTACTATGTAGTCAATTCACTTAATTCAAGAAATACTTACCCTTTAAATATGAACTTTCTGAACTCTGAAAATAAAGCTTTGTGTAATTAAAGGATTCCTAAAGAGAATATGGAACTAAAACGGTTAACTGGAAAATACTGATTGTTACAGGTCAAAATAAATTCTAAATGTTTGGTTTTAGCTTGCACAAATCAAGTCATGAGTGGTTATAAGCAGTGTTGTAGTCACTAAAAAGTAAACATTTAATTTAATTGTATCCGATGTCCATTAATCTTAAAATAAAAGATTTGCATTTTGAATTTTTTTTTAAGTATTTCATCCTTCAGATGCGATGATATGAAATTGAATGTGTTTCTTTTTCCAAAATTGACTAAATGTACGGTTTAAAAGTTCAATGACACCTTAACTTGCAAAATAAAAATGCACATTTGAGTTCTAGAGTGGGGTTGCACAGCGGCGCAGTTGATAGCACTGTTGCCTCGCAGCAAAAAGGTCCTGGGTTCAATTTCCGGCCCGGGGTTTTTGTGCACGCATGCGTGAGTTCTCCAGCATCCTCCTGCAGTCAGGTTAATTGGGCTTTCTAAATTTTCCGTAGGTATGAGTGTGTGTGCCTGGAACATTAACTGGACTTCCAATCCCCACGAGGGACAAGAGTGTTAGAAAATGGATGGAAGGAGTAGAGCTTAACATGAAAGGGCCTAAAAATAAAGAAACATATAAAACATGCCACTATACCATTATTTGTAAATAAAAAGTGAATTTTTGGGCCCATGATTTTAAGGGAGACAAATTTGAATTTGAAGCATTAGGTGTGTTGGTGCAAAAATAACAAAATTATACATCATGTTTTTGTCTAGTTCCTATTGCAAGTAGCCTAGTATACATAAAATTATAAAAAATAGACATACAAATAACTTTTCCCCAAGATATGAGAAAGTTCACTATACAAATGTTGGCTGTATATTTGATTAAACAATGTGAAGATTTTAATCCCTGGTTTTTGTTTTGAACATGACAACCTTGTATTCCTACTCCACTTACTTTTGACTACAACACTGCTTAAGATTACTGTGGAGCACAAAGTAATCATAAATGCATAATGTTACTTTAATTGCACAAATATTTCATATAAATATTTTACTTACTTATAGGTGTCTTTGTTATTGTAAAGTAACAAGTAACTAAAATCTGGCAAAGCTTTCCCTTTAACATATCAGACAAGACATATCAAAACTCATATAACCCCAGCCCAAACCATTTTTCTACTTCATGCTGTATATTAAAGTAGATTTAAATGTATGTCTTAGAGGTAGAACAAACCTGAGTCATATTATCATGAATCATCACAGGACAGTACATCACATAAGCTGTAAACTGCTTTAACTCTTCCCAGCCACGTCAGATAGGTAGAGACAATCTAATCATGTGAAATAGCCATTTTCCACCTCATTATAAACACATCTGCCAATGTTTTTAAATGCATATAAACAATCTGCTACTTTTTTTCACCGTGTTGTTTGGAAGTCTGTTTGTCTCTTCAAATATGGTTAGTAAATCACTTAAATTTTTACTGTTTACAACTTTCAAGTGCATGAGAAGGACTAACAGAGATTTATTAAAACAATATTATTTATACATATATATATATATATATATATTATATATAATATATATATATATATATATATATTATATATATATATATATATATATATATATATATATATATATATATATATGCCAGCAATTTCTGATGCTGTTGATTAAGCAGTTTCATCTACATTTACATCAAGCTTTGCTAAACTTTTCTACAGCTTGCTTTAGGAGAAAGATTGTTTTGGTATATTTATAGGTAAACTGAAAGGTCAGGCTGGCATGTTAAATAAAGAGTTACAACCTGTATAGATTTAAAAAAAAAAGTGTCAACAACCTGACAGGAAGTCTGATATATAATATTTGTGCCAAGTGTACATAACAGATTGTAGAATATGTTTTATCATCACTTGCCGTAATATTTATATTCCTTGTGGATTTTTTTGAGCTTTTTTCTTTTGAATGTACAAATTGTGTTGTGTTCTCCTTTTGTTCCCTTTTGGTTTTGTTCATATGAATTTATTTTCCTTCATTTTATTTCGGATTGCATAGATTCTGTGTTGTTTTTTTCCCTTGATTCTGTCCTTGTGTTGTAGATTATAGCTACCAAAAAGCTTGTATTTACTGATACCTGATGATCCATGGCTTAGTGATGAGTAGATTTTGGTCATGAGCTCTTTTATTTGCACTCATCCTTTAAACGTGTATAAGAATAAAAAAAACTCTTTTCATTTTGGATGTTTTCTATTTTCTTTTATGCAACCTTTATCCATGTTTTACTTTGATGAAAGATTTTTGATGCATCTTCACTGAACAAAGTTAATGGTTTACCAGCACTTTCTGCCAAAAATATTTAAGTTTTAAAGACTGCGACATAAAAAAAGGATAAGCGTAGTTTATTATTATATGCTAATATATTATATATCTTAATGATGGATTTGCATAAAAAACAAGCACAAAAATGTATGAATGACTAAATAAACACAAAGAAGGCCATAAGTGGTTATTTGTGTCAAATCACATTTAAAATAAAAATATCTATCATTTTAAAAAGACCCTTAGGGGCAAAGAAAACATGTAACCATTGGTTTTGTACAATATATGGATATATTCATCTTTAATGCATATTTTTACGTGAGTACTGCTTCAAAACCCTCTGCTTATAAATGCCATTAAACAAATTCTAACCCTCAACTGTCAAGATAACACAGTGATGGTGAGACTGCAGTGAAACAACAGTATGTGACACAGCTGAAATGATAACGAGCAGGTTTATGTTATTTGAAGTTTTAAAAGAAAAAAAAAACTAATTAACTTGATTCACCCTTCTGGTAATGCCCAATATTAGCTTCTCACATAGTCACGAGAACATCAATGAAAGAATTCATGTCCTTGGTTCAAGTATCGTCACAAAGCAATTATTAAGTTTGAAACACTGACACTTTGTCATTTCCGTCTTTGCTTTGGTAAGAAGAACTAGGAAATCCGTCCTGTATGGCTGAGAGAGTTATTAAATTAAAATCTCTGCAGGCAAAAGGGCAATAAAAAGTCCAGTTTATATTTGACATTCCCCTATATTTAAAGAAGTTGGATTTAAAAAATGAAAAATATTGTGGCAGGTTCCTCAGAGGTCAAATGAGAAAATAAATTGAATTTTTTTATCTAATCTTTTGGAGATATTTCTTTGCAAAAGGGTTACAAATAATCATGTAAATGCACATATTCAACAGAAACCTTTTGAATCAGGAAAGTGACCACAAAGCCAGAGTTCTGAAATTATTAGATGTTTCTCTACTCAAAACACTCACATAATAATAATAATAATAATAATAATAATAATAATAATAATAATAATAATAATAATAATAATAATAATAATAATAATAATAATAATAAGCAGTTCAATGATTTGGTCATAACCAAACTGCATCCTCAGAAGGCAGTTTAAGCATTTTAGACAAGTGTTGGAGCAGGAACATTTTGAAAGTTTTCATTATACACCATCAGCCCTCAAGAGATTAAGACTGTGCTTCTCAAACTGATAAGCACTGTTGCTTATCAGGAGACAGAATCTCCCCCCAAAAATCGCAGCTGTAACTGACTTGTGGGTCCTGAATGCAAATGCATGTCACGCTTTCCTTTTGTCTATTAAATGTGTCCTCATAAAATATAAGTTGTACTATGGTTATGAAAAAGAAACAGAGCACACGTGAGTGTAATTTGATCACATTTAGCGCATGTTTAAAGTATGCTGTCCTCACATTCTTACTAAAAAGATTGTTTATGTTGATTTCATATGCTGTCTTAGAACCAAGCAAAATTAATTTCTTATGTAGAAAAAAGCAACGTGTAGTGCATTCTTTAACTGAAAAGACACAGGATAGAGGCTTTTTGTCTTCAGTGTTCTCTGTCAGTTTCTCAACTTTGTTGTTTCATATTTGTTTTTATTTCTTAATTGATAAAATGCTCTCAAAATCACTC